GACTCTCAAGACCTTCCTTTTGAGTTTTATTTTCCGGCAGTTTTTACTTTCAAGTAACGTTAGTCGCTGTGGACTTCTTCTTCAGAAGAACCAGAAGTAAAAACTTCCAGCTGACTCCTTACGAACTCATCAAAAGACCTCCGTTATCTACCGCATCCGGACTCTTCTTCAGCAATCGAAAAACCAATGCAAGTAACCGCTTAAAATTATTCAGATGCGTGTTTAAGGTTCAGACCCTTTTTAAGGTGATTTTTGGATTCTCTGATGATTTTCAAAGGTTGTGGTTAAGTGATGTGAAATACTGCCATTCTTTTCCTATTCTCTCTCTTTTCCTTACTTTGTTTCATTCTGTGTATATATGTTTTAGTTAGTTATATGTTAGATATAGTTTTCATTTATTAAATCCCTTATATTCACAACGGATTGTCTCTGTTTACTGTTCACAGTTCCAAGTCAATGAATGTTTGAACCCTCGCTACATTTTGCTAAGAAATACTGCTAGCACTGTACAAAGAAGGACAGTTTATTGTTCCGTGGCCAGAAAATAAATATCCCTTGAATTGATAAATGATTATATTGTATGCTCGGTGGACGGACAGATCAAATAATTGTAATATTGATTCTGCTACAGTTAATTCGAAGATATAATCTAAATATTTATTATGAACCGTAACCAGTTATAATTCGTCATAAATATTTCCCTTTTTAGAGCTAATAATAAATAATAAAAACATTACATTACTGTAAAATTTACAGCAACCTATTTACAGTGTAGCGTAAACTCCGGTGAGAATATGCTAGTCTCGCGAGAAACAAGTTTTGTTTACAGCAAAGGAAAGTTTGCAAAGTGTCCTCTTGGCTTATATTGAAATCCTCCGACATTTTTCTTTACAAATCCTCGTTTTGTACTACTAATTCATGACCGGTGTTTTGTTTTGCTCTCTCCTCTGAGCTTCCGCGTTCACCACTTCCACGTTCATCACTTCCACGTTCATCACCGCGTTTGCCTACGTGCTACATCATCCGCTGGATGCCACTCTCTCGTGAATGCGTGTATGACAGTTAGCGGAAGCTAGAGATTAAGGTTTATAAAGTTTATAAAATATATTTTTCTTACACAAACACATCGCGTCGCTTCAGAAGGCCTTTATTAACCCCCAGAGCAGTGTGGACTTGTTTTATAATGGATTGGTTCAATTTTTTGGACTTCAAATTTTGGGCTACATCCACTCCCATTATAAAGCTTGGAACAGTCAGGATTTTTTTTATATAACTCCGATTGTATTCGTCTGAAAGAAGAATGCCATATACACCTAGGATGGCTTGAAGGCGAGTAAATTATGGGGTAATTTTTATTTTTTGGGTGAACTATCCCTTTAACGGTGTTATTAAATTATTGGTGTTTCATAAAAATCTACTTTCAGACGACTTTTTTGTCTTCATGCACAATTGTCAACTAGACCAGCATAAACCAGCCTAGACCAGCCTTAAAAGCCAGAAAAAAACAGCCCAAGCTGGATTAGTTAGCAGAGCTAACACTGTCCAACCATGCTAAGTAATGACTCTGGACTTAATATTATTTACCTAAGTACAACATGTTCCTGGATCAACATTCTTACCAGCCAACCAAAATCTACCATTACTTATGATTGCTGATACAAATGTTCTTCCAGGACCAAGAAAGGATGTTTGTTATCCATGCTCAATATATATAAACCATGTCGTATTTAACCCTGGATTTCTTTTCAGACTTGTTTGACCAAAACTTGCCAACTTTTCTCCTACTTCTTATGGTCCACTGAACCTCCAAGCCATTAATACCCCTGACAGAGAAATAAGGTTGTTTGAATGCGCACAGATTCATTCACACTCCCACACACAACCCACAACAAACATCTGCGCACTTATTATCGGTCTATTGGGTAGAGGAACTTGGCGTGCAGGCATAGATCATCTCTAGCCTCTGGATGGGAGAATATAACATTCCCCTCATTCCCCTTCTGTGTTTTGCTGAATCAGTTGCACCTTCACCCATGCAAATCCTCACTGCTGAGCCTGGCTCAGCTTTAATTATGGAGAGGCACTGACTGAATCACTGCATATTTGGATATGACTAACAGACAGCCAAGTCAGGGCAACAAGCCCAGCCGTGATGCTCTGAGGTGAGGACAGCGTTCTGAGAACACCGCCTCCACGGACCAACCGCATCCATTTAGAGCGCAGCGCAAGTCTCACCACATGAATATTCAGTGAATGTAATACAAATGTGAGTCGCTGTCAAGATGTTTCGGTCTCATGTGAAAATATTAAAAATTGTGAAAATGTATGACTTGTGAATGCTCCTGTGACTTGCGTTTAATTTTCTGACCGAGTACAGGTTAGTAGTGGATCACCTGTACTGGTGGTGCCATGATAGTAACTGGAATGAAACCTACTAGAGCAACTGCATAGCCTACATAACATTTTCCAGTCTTATCTCCTAAAGTAATGGTTGCTGAAAAATCAGCTTTGACATCACAGGAATAAATTACATTAAACATATAAACATTTTAACGGTTTATATAGGATTTAATTCTGACTTCAAAAATGGCTGTTTTGCACATGCTAAGCAAAGAACAAAGGAAACAAATAAGAAAATTCTCACGCATATGCATGCATTTCTTCACATAGGAGCTCACTTTTATCACTTGGGGCTGTGCCAAGCTCAAGCCAGGTTTGTTAATGTTTTGAATTCTAAGTGCGATCCAGTTAAAAAAAACAACTGCACATTTTTGTTTTGTATTCTCTGTGTAAGAACAAAGAGAAGCCAAAATAGTGCTCACTATTTTGTTTTCTTAAGTAACAGAGATGCTGTTAAATTAATGGTTTGAAGGCCTTGTTAAAATATACAAGTCGAAAGTTAGCAAGGCTTTTCTAGGCCTACACTCCAGCGAACTTACTTCTCTCTCGCTACATTGCAAACAATGACACAACGCCCTGCTTTCCTAGCGCAGCTTCAGGTGCAAGCATTCCTGCTCTCAAGACACATATTTTAAAAACTGCTTTGATGCTGACATCATCAATTGTTAAATTTACATCGAAAATGTTCACGGAAAATGTGGTTTACATACTAAACTGTAAGGCCGACTACTAATGCACTGAATTTACTTTACAAATAAAAACGATTATTTTCTTATTTTATTTGTAACTCAATGGATGCATCAAAACGAACGAAAAAAATCTGGCATCAGTGCAAAAAAACACTCACATTACATAACATAATTAATTTATGCATTTAGCAGACGCTTTTATACAAAGCGACTTACAGTGCATTCAGGCTATACATTTTTTACCAGTATGTGTGTTCCCTGAGAATCGAACCCATGACCTTTAGCGCTGATAACGCAATGCTCTACCACTGAGTCACAGGAACACTGAATAGCATAACATGAATAGGGTTAAAAATTATAATATTAATGCAGTTATAAAAAAAAGTAAATATGCCAAGTTATGATGTTGCTTGGAAACTGTAAACAATTTAACACCACTAGTATGCATTATGTCCCTTTGGGATACGTCCTACAATATATGAAGAGTTCAGATGCAAAATCCTCTAAGTGCCATCTGAAAATTTCTTCTAAAATTAGCATTTTTATCAGGCTCCTATGTTTATGTTCGCTTATTTAACTTTAATGGCATAGAAAAGGACCTATACATTGCCATTAAAGTGAATTTTCTGAACCTAAACATAGGAGCCTGATAAAAATGCTAATTTTAAAAGAAATTGTCAGATGGCACTTAGAGGCTTTTGC